GCCTTTTTTTCATATTATTCAATAGATGAAAATTGTTTTTAGATGATTTAATATTTACCGAAAATAATTTTTAGTTATTTTCATTTTTACCAAAAATTTTCATGAGAAACTAATATTTTTTTATTACATTTGATAGTTTTAAAATATTAGTGTGGTCCTAATTAACGAACAGCCTTAATTGTACCGAATAATGTGAAAAAAACAAAATATTATAATTAATATAGCAGTAGTACTCTATGTTAGTGTATCGACAGTCTGCAGCTGTATCTTACTTTTGGGTAACGTAGTTAAGTAGTTGACGTAAAGAATATCAAGAGATGTATTGTGGTAATATTTAGCATATATTAGCAAGTGTAATATAATGGTATCACTTGTAATATTAGGATGTTATATGATATTATCTTTTGTACATGTATGTCACATATGAATTTACAAGATCACCAATACAGGATTCACTTCTTTAAAACACAAAATAATCAATTAGGGAATGAAATCTAATTCTTATACAGATTTACAGTAAAGTCTATATATAGATTCTCAATTAAGTCCAGCCAATTGCATTTAACTATTAATTAAGGTCTACAGCGTTCAACATCACACTACGGATCGTTACATTAATCTCCTCTAACTAAAAATGTCCATTACTTCTTATTAAAATCAGTTCTTTTGGTAATTTCAAAAATTATTTTATTTTTATAATAAACCCAACCCACCTTTAATTATTCATTTAATGGTATATATTTTTGTGAGCTTTTCTAATTAGGTAGATAGTTACGTTGCTAATGTTTTTGTTGTAACGAACATCGCGCCGGCAGACAACGCAAAGAAACTTACGAATATATTTTTAGTGTTTAATTTTTGTCTTGGTGATTATTGTATCGCATCCTTTCAAGGCGTTAGCGCCGGGACACATTAGGCCAGCCTTTTACTTAAATATAAATATTTTTGAATCTTGTTTTGGCTAGGCCGGAGGAAGCTTTAAAAAATAATGGTGTCAATCTTTCAATAAAATATACTCTCTCAAAAGGATACTTATTCAACAAAATGAAATTATGGTACATTATTAAATTATATTTATAAGAAAAATATTGAATTTATAGAATCTTTTACACATAAAAAACAGTCACAGATTTTGTGTAACGATTTCGTTTATTTAAAATTCGATTAGAAAATCGTTTTTCTAATCATTCATATTGACTATAGAACACTTAGGGCCCCAGTACACTAGGAAGGTTGCACCGTACGTTTATATCACCACATGACACGTTGAACGGTTTGAAAACGGTGTTACCGAGTTTTTTGTTTATAACTCAAAATATATATTTCATTTATTCAGTTGTCTTCTACTACGCTGTATAGAGTTTTTTATTTTATTTTAATCATTATTTTACGATTTTTTACTAGGTAATTATTAATGCTTTTAATATATACGAGTACTCAATTTATGTTTTGCTACATTAAAAGTTAAAATTGCACGTGACATTTGTAATGTACATGAAACTATGTACTGAACACTTATTTATAATAAGACATAAAGCTTCAACTGTTGCTTGAATAAAATAAACTGCGTCTCGTGCACTTGTTTTACGCCAACCTGACGCAGCTACGAATTTCTGTATTAGACATTTTGTTTGTTCCCTTTTATTCTATATTGCTGAAACATTAAAAGGTTTTTCGTTTCCTGTATCATGGATGAAGAAGAACTTATAATTATATCGTTTGATAAATAAGGTATACATTGCGTAAAGTGTACCTTATTTATTACATACCAGATGATAACTAACAGAATCTTGCAATAAAAGTCACATTACAACACTAAATTTTTAAATTTATTTTACACAAAAATATAATAAATTTTTATATCATTGTGTATGTATTAAAAATACAAAGTGAAATATAGTACATTTAGTATAGTATATAGAAATATAGTACATAGAAATATGTTTTGATTTCAATAATAATTATTAAGATACCACAGTAGTAGTAAAAAAATGTTTAATGTTATAGATAATTGTAAATTTGTAAGTGTGTACATTAACTCCAGTATAATTTACTTATACTTTATAGTAATATGTTTTGGTTTCGACAATTATAGTTGAAATAATACAGTATTAGGGAAAGGTGAATGAAGTATATAATGTTTTTTATTTATAAATAGATAAAAACAAGGTAGGTACATTAATTTGAGTGGAGTTAGGAAAATATGTTTGTACCTCTAGTACTTTAAGTACTTCCAAGTTCAGAACACTATTTGCATCTATAATATGTATCAAGTTTTTATACGAGTGTTTAATAATTTTTAATGAAAGTAATAAAGCGAAAAAATAGGTAGGATTTTAGGAACAAACGTGTTTTGTCAACGTCAGAATACGTATTTTCATACCTTACCCTGAGAGAATTTAATAAAATAGCAGGCACGCATATTCTTAATACATTTTACACTATAGTAACCTGTTGTTACCCCGGCATTTTGCCATATTCACATCTTAAAATCATAATGCACTCATAGATTCACTGACTGTGGTTACCGGATTACACGTCTAAAATGGTAATAGTCAATTTATGTAATTTTTTCAGGAGATTAAAAACAAAACTATATTGTCTTATTTCTTTAATTTATTTTTTTTTCTACTAAAGGCCTTGCCTTGTCGTTACCAGATACCTGTGAGGAACTGGTATTTCTAAAATCAACGGCGACAGGCGTGGCTTAACACTAGAGTTTTGTTAACATCTAGTGTGTCCACTGCGCTACTTCCCGCCTTCCTTTCTTTAATAAAAAAAAAAATTCTTAAATATTAGTAAAATGAAATAATTTTTCACCAAATTAATAATAATAAAATTATTGATACTACTGCTAATAGATTATTGAATTAAACAAGAAAATAAAAATTGACTACTACCGTTTTTTTCCTGTACTCTTCATATAAAATTTTTTTGAAAAAATTTGAAAAAAAAAAATTATTTTTGACAATTTGAAAACGTATATTATTAAAAAAAAAAAAAATGATTGATTAAATAGATTGACATGTATTGTTGAGATTTTTAAATTAAACATATTTTTTCTTTACGAAAATTAAAAAAAATTTTAGCTAATAGGAAATGAGTGTCTATTGCTTAATCAATCACTCAGTATATATTATAAGAATTGTTAAGGAAAGAGGTAGTAATCATATTTCATTATGCTTTATTTCTATTTTGACAAGCAGATTGATGTTCTAAATTAAAATAAATATTTTATTATTTCCTTATATGATGAGGATGTTAGTATAAAAATATTTTTTGTAAATACATCTCCACAATTCAAAAAGGATGAAGTAAATTTAAAAAAAGTTCTTCTTTGTGGCGATATTAATGAGAAAGACATCATCATAAAAGAGTATGCAGAAAAACTTATTTTTGAAAAATAAATTTTGTGAAATTCCATAGAGGATTCTTATAAATATATTAATCCGTAGAGTTTTTTTATTTGTTTTTTATGTTATTATCAGTTTACTAAATTGTTAAATATATTTTTCTTAGATGAATTAAATACTGCTTAGTTATATTTCAAACTATTGTTTTGTGAATTTATTTACACATATGTGTGAAGTTAAAGTGAAGTATTGGAGAGACTTGAATTCCTAAAAACAAATTATTTGAATTTTTTAATGCATACAGTGTAAGGGGAAATCTGGATAAGTAATGATGAAAATGTCATATTTATTTTTGAATTTTTAATAATATATATCAAAATTACACTATTTATTTAAAAAAAAACGTGTTTTTTAATAATATCATTAGGACGTAAAGGAATTTAGAATTATATTAATTACGGTATGGTTGAATTTTAAATTATTATCTGTAAATTAAAAAAATTATACATCTATTTAATTTTAATTAAAGTTTAAATAATTATTTTTATTGATTTCAATGACGTGTTTTTATCGTACATTATTTCAAGGATGACATTTTTATTCTATCAGCTTTAAAATTTATTTGCAACTATGAAATATTTTTTTTATATTTATACAAATTTAATTTATGTTTTTCTGCCAGTGATTAAGTTTATTTTTAAATAAATTTATAACCTTCTATTAATTTAATATTTTTTCAACTATATAAAAATAAGTTTATTTTTAACGATTACTAGCTTTAAAAATGTGTTTTGTTTAATAATAACACTTATTTTTTCAATACTGTTATAATGAAATGAAAATACCAATTAATAATAAGAAATAATATAATAATAGATAAAATAAAAGAAGAATTTTATTATTTGATGAACATTGAATAATTTGTCAATTCTTGAAAAATTATTTAATGCTCTATGTTTTCAAAAAATTATTTTTAATGAAAGAACTTGTTGACATTATTTTGGAAAAATCATTCACGTAAATGAGGATATTTTTTTGCCCGTGATTGTGGTTTAAATATAAAACTTGATGTTTTTTACAAACTTGTCCAAAGATGATTTTCAAATTTTTTTTTTCAAGTTCATACGCATAGTTTATATTCGGACTCCATATATATGTGAGTGCGCATCTCAATAATTATGATGTCCACACAATAACCTCTAATAATTATTAGATGCTAATAAAAATGCCTAATGATTTATTATATTATAATTGTGATGCCCTCGGTACCAACTGTGAACCATATATTTATTACATTTTATTATTAAACATATTTAAATTTTTCTATTTTAGTTTATAATATTTTTTTTATATTTATCGTTGCGTAGCAATTTTTGTTCAAAATCTTATACTGTTTGGCTTAGAAAAACATTGCAATGAAAAATTGTACACTTGATTAAATTTGAAATTATTGTCTGTATTTTTTTTAAAAGAATTGATATTTTTATACTAAATATTATTCGAGAATAAATACATATAATTTATCTGATAATATGTAAATAATTTTTATAAACGTACAATTTCAGTAAACAAGATAATTAATTAATTTAGATTAGAACATTCTAGATTTATCAAAATAGAATGCAATGCACTATATAAACTAAATTAATTTAATAATAAAAATTATTTTCACGTTTTACTAACTCGTATATTATCATTATTAAAAATGAATTTCTATTTTCGTTTTGGAATATTACTTTGTTTCATGTGTTTAAATGCCATACCTACGTTTTCAACTGGGGCGCCAAACTCCAAAAGAAATCCGCTAGATGAAGTATTTAAAATTATTATTTTTATATACCTTTATTACTAACATTTAGTAGCTTGAAGTAACTGATTTTATGCACATAATAATCTACTTTTATAATATAATATAGTTAGAACAGTAAATTACTTTAGCCTTCAATATGATTCAAATTCAAATCAAACCCCCCACCTAAGGAAGTTTATTATTTAAAAACCAAAATGCTGAATCCATTCTTCATAAATTTATGAATGAAAAATTTAATGTCAATCCAAGTGCACAATGTGAAAAAATTTCTCGGACTAGTGAACGGTGTTAACTTTATTTTGCCAGAAGAAAATCTGTTAAAGAATTAAAAAGTCATATTAATAGTTAAAAAATGTATTTTGTAGGAATATGTTCTCAATGAAGTGACTGATTCAGATGAGGTGAGGTATAACAATTATTAAAAAGAATTATTTTTAATTATCAGCAGTCATATTAATAATTAATAAAAAATTATTTTGTAGGAAAATGAACCCTATGAAGTGATTGATTCAGATGAGGTGAGGTATAACAATTATTAAAAAGAATTATTTTTTTAATTTAATTATCAGCAATAATTTTTGTAAAGAAGTGTGTATATATTTAAGGTTCATATTATAGAAAATATTTAACTAAGTTAATGAATGATCTATAATAACTATTAGTATTTTTAATAATTGCTTAATAATAAATGTGTATGAAGCGTAATTAATATTATACTTATGATTAGACATTTTGTTCCATAATATTCCTTGCCTTTGACCAGTTGTTTTTAATTAGGTATTTTTCATTATTACTAAATTAGTAATGTAAGATAGATATGAAATTAATTAATTCTGCATATCTATAAACTTTAAATATCTACAACTATTTAAGGTTGTCAAATTGACAACTTAATTATTTTTTTGTAGTGTAACAAGGCAATAAACAATTTTTTCGCAATGTGAAAAAGTTTCTCAGACTAGTGAAGGGTGTTAACTTTATTTTGTTAGAGAGAATTTGTTAAAGTATCAAAGAGTCATATTAATAATTAAAAAAATTTGTTTTGTAGGAAAATGGATCCTATGAAGTGATTGATTATTCAGATGAGGTGAGGTGTAACAAATATTACAGAGAATTATTTTTTTAATTTAATTATCAGCAATATTTTTGTAAAGAAGTGTAAGAAATGTGTTATTAAACATGACGTCTATATTTCTTTTTGTTTGTTCTACAAACATTTATTACAATTTTCACATTGTATTTTATAATTTCCCGATTTTTTCCTTTATTCTACTTATCTTTAGGATTACTTCATAAATATTTTGAATTATTGATCTTAAATGTCAATAAACTAATACCAAAATACATAAAAATTCTAGCTATCTTATTTAAAAGCCAAGATACTATAAAATGGGTGATCTAATTACTTTTTGTTCCCCATGCTAGTGAGTGTACGCCTTCCTTTCTTAATTTCAATTTTGTGTTCGGACTAATTTTGAAATTATATTTTCGTTATACCATTAAATCTATCTGTTTCCCTTATGACCGTCAGTTCTTTATCAAAATCTATTTTATTCATCAGACTATTACCTATCTTAAAACTATATTGTTAAAAGCTGCCATTTTGTGTTACCAACTATCGTTTGAGTTATTTGGAATAAACCTGAACGTGCATGTGTTTTTACGATAAATATCTAAATTTAGTTCCCCCTACTTTTTTAACTAATAAGTCCAAAAAAGGCAATTTTTGCTCTACATCCTGTTTGTAATCTATGCATAAAAATAATTTAGATGTTTTATGAAGACCTCCGTATTAAAATCTTTGTTTATATCTGTAAAAATATCATCTGTATACCTGACACAAATTTTCAGAAAAACACTAAGGTGTTTTTAAATTTTTTTCAAACCTACTAATGAAAAGTTCTACTAAAAACGATGATAGCAGATTAGCTATTGCTGTGTCCTTAATTTGCTAATAAATTTTTTTTTGAAACTGACATACATATTTAAAAAACTATTAAAATATAGTTCATAAATCATTAGTTAAAAATATATAAATAAAATTTTAAATACGCATCCATTGTGGAATTGTGGTATACAATTTAATGTAGTAATGTAAGATAGATATGAAATTATATAGTTCTGAATATCTGTAAGATTTTTAAGATAATCAAATTGACAACTTAACTTTTTTTTTTTTTTTAGTGTAACAAAGCAATAAAACATTTTTTAACAATGTAAAAAAGTTTCTTAGACTAGTGAAGGGTGTTAACTTTATTTTGCTAGAAGAAAATCTGTTAAAGAATCAAAGATTCATATTAATAATTAATAAAAAATTATTTTGTAGGAAAATGAACCCTATGAAGTGATTGATTCAGATGAGGTGAGGTATAACAATTATTAAAAAGAATTATTTTTTTAATTTAATTATCAGCAATAATTTTTGTAAAGAAGTGTGTATATATTTAAGGTTCATATTATAGAAAATATTTAACTAAGTTAATGAATGATCTATAATAACTATTAGTATTTNTAATGACCAATCTATAATAACTATTAGTATTTTTAATAATTGCTTAATAATAAATGTGTATGAAGCGTAATTAATATTATACTTATGATTAGACATTTTGTTCCATAATATTTCTTGCCTATATATACAAATAATTTCTATTGAAATAATTGTTCAACAGTAATTATTGGCCAGTTGTTTTTAACTAAGTATTTTTTCAATATTAAAAATAGTTAAGATGAATATTTCAATTAAAAAAAATCTAAGTTAAATTAATTTAAACCAAAATTATTTTAAAAATATTAATTTATAACTAAAAATTTTTAAATAATTATCTCAAAAATCACAAAAAAACTACTCAAAAATCCGTATATGTATTTCAGGAACAATGTTACTATTATCTAGGCTAAACACATACTAACACTCCAAACAAAACAAAAAATAGGCAAGAACAGTTATAGAAATGAATGTTGAAGGAAGAAGAGATAGAGGAAGACCAAAAAAGAGATGGAGGGATGCTATTGAATGCGATTTGAGGACAGCTGATGTGAGCGTAGAAGATGTGGGAGATCGTGTCAAGTGGAAGTTTAGGATGAGGGTGGCCGACCCCAAGTAGTTGGGATTAAGGCAAAGAAAAAGAAAAATATTACCAGAAATTCCGGTGGCAATTGACATAATATGATTGTTGTTTCGAAATGTACAATTTAGCGTTTAGTTGGGTTTAAACAATATAGCGTCAAATCAATTACCTACTCACTCTATCGGTTGTATCTTATTATACACTGCACTTTAAAGATACTATAAATAAATAAACTCACACATACACACACATGCATTTATAACATTGTGTCTAATGTAAGTATAACATGATAAAAAGTAACCGTAAAATAAAAAAATTGGAAAATAAATTTTAGTACTAATATTAAATGTAATGCATCTCGAAATATATTTGTTTAAATGAAAAAATATAATTTACTTTTTTTGTCTAAAATTGTCTTTTAAACAACTTTAGTACGAAACTTTTTTTTGTAAGTTAAATATTTTTTGAGAAAATGAAAAAAGCTCATATTTTTGAACTTTTGCGAGACACTAAAAAAAAAAGCTCAAGTCCAATCGATGAGGACTTTTAGTATGTCATTATCACATATCTTAATTCAATTTAAAAAAAAAAAAAAATTTGATTGGGAATTTTTTCCGCCATTCGCCAAAATTACTCCTTCGTTGACTGGCCTAATAATCTATACAACATTAGTGAATCTATCATCTGATGAAGTTATCACTATTATCGTATTATGCCAATTTACATAATTTTGATAATTAATTTTTTAGTGGACCAAGTTCACATTTAATTAAATAGTAAATTTCATAAAGCTTTATTAAATATATATAAGTATAAATTTAAAAACTTATGCATCTTATTATACTAATTAGTGTGGTAATGTATGTTAGATATAAAATTATTGAGTTCTGAATAACTATAAACTTTTAAAGGTAGTCAAATCGATAACTTAATTATTTTTTTATAGTGTAAGAATGCAATAAAAGATTTTTACAACCCATCAAATGAGGTGAAGTATTACAGATATTAAGAAAAAAAAATTAATTTTTAACATTTTTTCGTTACATTAACTAAAAAATACTGTATTTTATAAATTTATAAATTATAAATTTATGCTTACTCTAAGTGCAAAATTTAAAGAAGTCTTTCAGACTGGTTAAGGGTGTTAACTATATTTTATTAGGAGAACGTACATATCAAAATAGTTGATAAATAGAATATTATAAAATTAAGAAAGTCAACTGACTGATAATATAAATTGAAAGAGTAGTGGAAATTCATAAGGGGGACATGACGTGCACTTAATTACAAAATGTTACTGTAAGCTGTCATTTGTTTGTACAGTAACCAAATCTAAATTCATTTCATAAAAACTACCTGGTAAATATCTGAGAAATTAAAATTTTTATAGTTTAACTAAGTATATTGATTGTTTTTTTTTTTTAAATCCGTTTCAGTTAGAAAAACTAGAGCACAGTAAAATATGTAGGAATTAAAAGGGGATTAAAATACTCTATTTATATATTCTTTATAAGTCTCTTCTTTTGAATTTTAAAATTAATGAGGAATTCATTTAACCTAGAATGATGATAAGCACAAATTGATTCCTTACCTTTTATTCTATTTTATATCTAAATTATTTTCTAATTTTTACAACGTCCTATTAATTAGTCTGCTTAATTTCTCTAAAGCAACAGCGTAGTGTTACACCAAATTACAATTTTTTTTAAATGCCCATTTCTTACCTATAAATTTCAGCGTATGTTATAATAGACAAACAAGATTCAAATAAAAATTATATTATCTATTTATACATCTATTTACACTTCTCAATAAGTTGTTATAGCATTATAAAGTAAAAAATGTAAAATATAAAATCGAGAAATTTCACACAAAAATAGCATTAGGTAGCCATTTTCACCGTGATGACATAATAAAGTCCGAAATTTTTTTTTTCAAATTAAAGTACATTACATTAGCTTTAATTTAAGATATATATAAAAGTGTCAGACCTTCCGGAACATTTTCAAAAGTTAAGTTGAAAAAGTTAATTTTTTGTGAAAAAGTTGTCATGTGCCCCTGTGGGACAGGTTAAGTGTCAGATTTACAAAAAAAATATACCAAATGATAGGTAAAGACATCAAGCATCTATAAAAGAAAGAATTATATTGATATGTTCATTTTTGAAAAAGTTACGGCAGTTTTTAGTAAAAAAAATTGAAAAANAAAAAAAAATTATATTGATATGTTCATTTTTGAAAAAGTTACGGCAGTTTTTAGTAAAAAAAATTGAAAAAATTTCGAAAATTAGCGATTTTTAAATTTGTAATTTTTTTGGAGGTTTCCCCCATTTACGGGGAACGAGGGAAATTTTTTCAATTTTGAAGGGTAATGTCTTTGACTAGATACGATATGTGATCTTTTGACGTATCGTTGAAAGAAATCCGTTCGGTGAGAGCTGAGAAAAAGTGGTAACAGACACAAAAAAAAACACATCATAGTAAAACCAATACCTTATCAGCTTCGCATCGAAGCTAAAATAGGCTAAATGGTAATATTATTTTTATGATTAGAATTTCTAAACCATAATACTCCTCTTGCCTAGATATAAAAATAATGATAGTTTCTTGTATAGTGGTTCCAAAGTTGTTATTGATCCGTCTTTTTCTTAGTTAGATAATTTTCAAGTATTAAAAATACGAAAGTAGTTAAATTTGTATGTTTCAATTTAAAAAACTCAAGTTGATATACATTTAAAAAGAATGAAATAAAGAATAAAGTAAGATTTAAAAAATATAAATTAAGCATATAAAATTCTATACATTTTTAAAAAATAAAATTGTAATATTTTGTAAATCTCAAGGTAATACGTGTAATATTGTAATTGTGAGATATTTTTATAAATTTAATATTTAAATTGTAACTTGGGGTTTTTTTTTGAAGAATTAATTGTTAAAAACGGTTCAGCTGAATTCCCATAAACATACATAAAAAAACATTGGAAAATTTTTATTATTATAAGATTTTACATTATTATAAATGTTTAAATTAAATGTAATTTTAGATATTTTCCGCATTGGAAATTTGAATTAGATTTTTTCAACTTATAAACTAAGACAGTACTGTGAAACTTCAAATTTTTATTAAAAAATATAATAAATGTGCATCGTTTATTGTATCTGTCAATAAAAATTCATAGTAAAACAATTATATTCTTAGCTGTGTATCAATGTTATAATTAATTTAAGATATTATATTAATCTCCTTTTTTTTTATTTATTATTTTATTGTAATTAAATTATTTTGATAATTTTCATAAAACATTTAATAATTTACCTTCGATTTTTATTAGAAAGACTATCCATTTTCATTTTTTGCCATTCAACATGCATTGTCTCAAATTTTTAATATTTCTGTTGAAAATGGAGAAATTTTATTGAAAAGAAAAGGAAATATTGAATTAGTTCAACAAAACAATATTTCTATGTTATCAGGAAATTTTACGCCACATTTATCAGGTAAAATGTCGTGTTTATACAGAATAGATTAAACTGACAACTCTTAAACATTTTATAATTTTATTTTTAATAATTTATATAGTCATGGACTACGTTGAAATCATATTTTTTATTATTAGTTTATAATAATGGTGAAAACAATTTATACATGTTTTTATTTTTAGATTTTATCAAAACTTATGATTAAAAAATTTTTTGCGTTTTTCATACAAACAGTTTTATTAAGTCATTACAATTTTAAGACAAACACTTTTTGAGTTAAAAGCATTTTAATACATACAATGGCTATGTGACGCGTTTGTAGTATGCATTTTAAATATATATCAGGATAAGCTGTGTCCACCCTCACTACATACCACATAAATGTATTAAAATGCTAGTAACTCAATAATTACTCATTCTTAATTGTTTTCGACCCATTAAAATTCTTCGTATAAAT